ATTGCAGTGTTTGCGGTTGTCATATCAATATTCATTCGAAGCTGTGATGGATCTGCTTTCGGGGTCAGCACTACGTTGGATATCCACTCCGTTGGACCTTCTACTTGTTCTATGATGTCAGCCTCCTCGAGCTCCTGAATGATTTCTTCAAATTGCTGTCTCTTTGGAAATGGAATTCTACGTTGCGCCTGAACCTTTGGTTGGACCGAGTCATCAATTATTAACTCCACTTGACGATATTTGTGCTTTCCAATGCCTTGGAACACTTTGGGGTGTTTTTTTACTATTTGCGACACTGGTGATTCGCCGGTAGATTTCTGTTGATGGAGTTGTGTGACAAAGTCTGTGACTTTGGATAAAGGTGTCAACTGCTTCGCCATGTCCGAGTATGCCATATGGGTCCCTTGTTGTTTGGTCACCTCTTCGGGTAATGGGTTGCTCAATTCCCTTTCGGGTTGTTGTACTTGTAGAAGTTCATTTACACTGATTTTCAAAATGTCTAGATCAAAAGCTGTGTACTTGCCCATAAATGGAGTTGATGTTGGTTTCTCTGTCACATAGAATGTTGCATTCACCTCCTGCCCATTCGCTCGAACTTTCGTTTTGAAGCATCCTTTTACTGGCAACGGCTTTGATCCATATGGTTTCAATTTTGCCCCGGAATTTCTCAGTGGGGGCCGTTTGTGCAATGTTTTGTATGTTTTGTAATCCATAACGTTGACTTCTGCACCCGAGTCCACTTGTACTTTTAGCCGTTGATCTTGTACTCTAACTGTTACCGCGGTGTTGTATTCTGATGGCTGTGACATTGCTTTTGTGCCCGCGGTCACTTGGTCAAGTTTCCATGTCAATTGGTCAAACTTGTATGAAACCTGGGGATCTTCGTTGTCACTACCCTCTTCTTGGAGCTGTTCTATCGGTTTATATGCTTTGTATGTTTTGGATTGACAGACTACTGCGAAATGTCCTTTCTTCTTGCATTTATTGCAGGTGGCCCCGCGTGCCTTGCACCTTCCCTTGTGGGGTGTTTGTTGACCACAATATTTACAAACTACCAACGTGCCTTTGTTTCTGTGTATTTGTCGGTCGTGTGTTTCTTCTTGAGATGTTTTTGTGTAACCCCCTTTTGTCTCATGGCTTCTCTTTGACACTGCATTTACCGCTGGTTCTACAGGTTCTAGAGTATTTTGCTTCATGAAGGTCACCTCCCTTTGTGTGAGCTCTAAAGCTCTGGCACTGTCTATGAGTGTTTTCAAATCCATATCCTTTGCTATAATGTCTCGTTGGAGTTTGTCTGACGGAGTGTGTAGGGTGACCACTAGCTTAATTGCTTCATCTAATGTCATGTTCTCAAATTCACAGTCTTTACCTTTTGTTCGGAGTCTGGTTATCCAGTGGTCATGAGTTTCCTCTGGTGATGTGGGCTTGGTGCAAAAAAATCGGTATCGATCCGCTGTCAAATTCTTTTTTGGTGAGAAGTGTGCTGTGAGAGCGTCCTTTGCGGCCTTGTAAGTATCCCCCTCGACTGTAAGGGTGGAAAAAATCTCCCTGAGGGTTTGTCCTCCTACTGTGAGCAGTGCTGCCCTCCTTTTCGACGCTCCCTCCGCAGGGTCAGTTACGCCTTCAAAGTCTAGCACTAGTTCAAGGTTTTCCAGCCATTCTTTCCATCGTCGATCTACGTTTTTGCCCGTATCCGATAATTCCTCTGGTTTAAATTCTGGCACACACGCTTTAATGCTTGTTAATATTGCTGTGGCCATCTGTACTGTGATGTTGCCCCGTTTATCTGCTGACATTATAATCTGTGTTTTCCTGTATAATTTTCAAACAAGATGGCGTCCCCTATTCCGTATCGTCGTATCTGTTCAAATAATTCGCTTATCCTACCTCGTAAAGATGAGGAAATGATGTCGCTGTGGCCGTGTTGTAAGCCTGCTTCCTTGGTTGGTTTCGATATATTATTTTTTAGCTTATGATCTCATCCTCGTCGCCATATGAACAGTCTATTTGATAACAGTTTAATTATAACACAACACTTCACAATACGCCGATCTAAGAGAGCGGGAGTTCTCTAGTGTTTCCACTTACCGGCTCGTGTTTCCACTTACTGGATATAACAATTAGGTTATCTGTGATGTTGTCTAAGCGACTCTCGTTTATAGCAAGTACTTCAAATGGGTTGTTTGTCATTACAACTGTTAACTCATCTATATGTTTTAGAAGACTTGTAATATTTAAAGCTGCAATTTTAAAGCCCTTTTTTTATTTAATTTCATTAAAGGGGTTTAGAGTTTCATTAGAAGAAAAATAGTGATTGTTGTTATTAATTTCTACTGGAACAGTGGCTGCATTTCAACTAGGTGTTAAATAATTTATAAAATTATTGGTCATGAGCTCCTTCCCTGAGTGCAAGTCGGGGAATAGTCCGGCAGATATGTCGAAAAATCATGCACTCTGTGAAGAAAGCACCAAATTTGGCACAGTTATAGTTCTTGATTAAGCGAAAAAAACTGGATATGGAGGCAACTCCAAAAATTCAAATTATAGCCGTTAACAGCCCATTTTCCGTGAAAGCGAGGCAGAAAACCGGAAGTGCTATATATATCTTGATTTTTTATTTGTAAATTGGCCAAAATATTTTTTCTGTTTTCAGCTAAGCTTTTTATGTTTATTTTAGCCTATGTAGTTTAATGTACGAAACTAGTTCATTTATTACAATTTAGCCGATGTCAATGGTGAGAATATGGTCAAATCAACTCATTTTTAATCAGTAAAAGACTGCTCTCTCTTTTAATAGACCCATAACATCATTTAACTGTACAAATATGTAGAGAAGGTAGCAAATGACTTACAATACAGTTTTCTACTTGACCATTTGCAATAGAGAGATCTTGCAACATGTTTTGTGCACAAAGACTGTAATCGACGGCCATTTTGAATTTATAATGTTTTGGCGGAATTGGCCATTTAATACTTTTGAATTACTGGTTTGCCAAATCTAAGTTTTTCTGTTACATGTTAACAACATTTTATATCTAATAATAGGGTATCCACAATCAATAAATTCATAAAAATCCAATTCTCGACTATCTACATCTAAACGTAAGATGTGATAACAAACGTGTTTCCATCAACACTGGAATTGAAAGTCATTTTAGAAACGATTCTTGTAAATTTATCGCCAATTTAACTTATATATAACAGCCTATATTGCATGCAGTAACAACAACAACAGTCATTCTTTTATGCACTTGCCATCACATGCACACAGTGCAGTACATTGCAAAGCTGCTTTACGACAAGAGCAATTTCCTCGACACCCTTTCTTGCAAACACAGCATACAAAGGCATTGTACGTCATTGATACATCAGAAAGAGTGCTCCAAAATGGTTTCCAACCGTCTGCGGTTTGCAACCAGCCCCACTCACTGGGGGAAGGCAAAAGAGCCACAGGAAGTCGTAGCTTGTCCCCAGCAATATCCTCCTTGATAGACGGCTCTTTTCACATGTTGAACCAAGGCTGCTCAGGTAGGAGGGATCAACTCAAGAGATTTTCCTTTTGATGCGAACAACATCTTACGTGCCTTGTTGACTTTCATTTTTGGACATGTTCGGTCGTAAAGAAGCATGGCGAATCACTCGAGGATGTCCATGCACTCATCCGTTACACTTTCTTGTCGGTCAGACAGGAGGTGAAAAGCAGATGTAACCTCATGATATGAGAGCCACGTTTTCCATGCTGTTTTCTTGCCTTTAGCAGAAAAAGATGAAACTGTATCACAGCCTGTAACTGCATGAAACATCGACAGAGCTTTTGATTTTTTGGGGCCCAAACTCGAGGCAATTTCATGAACAGGTAGGAATCTCAGGTTTTTCCCCACGCCAAAAGCTATCCACAACTCGGAAGTACTCAATGTGTGTGAGACTGCGATCCCAATTACGACAACATCGGTATCTACCGTTTGTAAAAGTATTTTTGTTAATCCTCCTTGAACGGTGTCTGTGACGTGAACCATCATTCTTGTGTCTGCTTCTTCGTGGTTACAAGGAGCGAGGCTGTTTGTGTTATCACAAGGCAGATTGCAGAGAACTTGTTGACCGATGGTTACTGATAACCTGCTTGTTACTTCCAAAATCAGCGGAAAGGATGTGGTTTGCCAAAAATGCAAATAATTCCGTCATATTTTCATTCACTCGGAGAAATTCATGCCATTTGCTTGGCAGCTTTGTTGATGACTGGACCCTTCTGCGGATGCCTCTTCCACGTTTTTTCCTCGTTTCTTTTAGGCTATTTGGTGTATACTCATCCCATACTACATCAAATCTCTTTGTGTGCTGTAACTGTCCTTTGATGTAAGGAATAAACACATGTTCAGCATAATCGTGGAAGGTTTTCACTGCGGGCGTGGGTTTAAGCATGTTAATTGCAGCGGCGCTGTCTATAATAGTGACATCTATAGAGTTTGGAGAATCAGTGACAACAGGAATGACTGCTCCTGTGCACTGCAGCAGATCTGACTTGTTTCCTGGCAAACACAGATTACCATGTTGCGACAGTGATGGTGGACAACCTTGATTTTCATGCTCAAAAAATTTGTCCAAATCACCGTCTCTTGTTTGACAAGCAATGTATAATCTGGAATAGAGGCCACAGTCACTCTTGAGCATTGCTATCTGTTGCTTGTCCTTTGAAGGGATCTTTGGAGGTGGACTGCTAAATAACTTATATTTATTCTTCTTGATCGGCTCACATATGCTTCGTTTTTCTTCGGTCAAACATTCCTTGAAATATGTATCCAGTTGATCTTAACCAACAGCTTCAATTTGATGCACGGTTGCAACCATGGAGGCATCTGCTATAGTCCTAGTGACCAGAACAAGTAGATCGGCACTTTCCTCTAAGAATGGATTACCCATATCTTCCATTACATGGACTAATGCTTTGACATCCTTAGCAAATGAGATTTGAACTCTGTGTCTCTCTTCGTGGTGCTTTGCTTGATCTGTCTTCTCGTCTGTGATAAACGCTGTATCATCTTCAAACTCTGTAATCATTCTCGCAATTTCAGGTCCTGAAATCATCCACAGACGAAGTGCACCAGGGTTCTCTGTGAGCCCGATATCTCCCCCATCTCCTTTAACCAATGTATTGTTTTGTTTGTGGGCTTGATCAACAGCTATTGATGAGAACCTTCTTGACATCTTCTGAACAACGAATCCATTGTTCAGGAACTGATGATATACATATATGGATGCTTTTCTTCAAGGGACAGCATGTCCTGCAAGTGGATTGGAAGCCATCTGGCGTAATTTGTGTGATCTAAAGCAAAACACCAAGCTGCTAATTTAGATACAACTCGAAATCTAGATACAACTCGAAATCTGATTCTCGAAATGAGCGCACAAATACCAAGTAAAGTAATTCCAGTTGTAATGCAATATGCTAGAACTGAAAGTGCAGTGAACTTGACATCCTTTCTTCGCACCATTTGTCGAAGGATGGAGTATGTTCCAATGCCATTTCTTCTTCTCTCTCGGCATATGCTTTTGTTGAGCAATGCATACAACGCACTTGCTGTTAGCTGATGAGCACACCTTGCACGCTTGACATTCAAGGCCTTGGCGAATGAATTTGCCATTCCTGGGTTCGCAATCCCTGCCTCTACCAGCGCACTTGTCCAGCGACTGTCTTCCAACCAATCACCGAGCATTTTCAAGGCTACCATCTCGATGTGTAGACCACCAAGTAGAATGACAAAGTTTTGCTCACCGTGGGTTTGCGGCCAGTTCCATTGTATTTGCTTTGCCACGGCAAACAATGGTTGATCAACAGCTATCACAGGAACCTGGCCAGGATGTAGATGTTCCGTTGTTTTCTTGATGATATTCATATTGTGGCGAATCATGGCAACTGATTTAGATTCATCTTGGAATAATGGCAGTAATGATGAAACTGCTGGTTTCAAATTTCGCTGTTGCTGTGTACTTGCATGGTAACCTGACCATGATACCATTTCACCTTCTGGAAGCATCTCTTCCTCCACACCTCGTTTTACTTGCTGCAGCCACAATTTCATCTTGAAGAGCAATAGATAGATAATCCTCGTCAGTTCTTAGCGTAACATTGTTTGTTGTATGTGCATTCGCATCTCTCAGAATACAAGGAGGAACATCTGTATACCAATCAGGCAGTTCACAGACTTTCTTCGTATCAAGTTTACTACGATGCTCCAGAGATATTTGTTCTTGTTCTATCCCAGGATATTCCCGCGATACGTTCTGAAATAAAGATATCCCGGTTCCATGAAAAGGCCCTTTAGCAGTGTTTGAACTGGGGTTGTGGTCAATGTTATCTACTGCAGAGGTGGTCAAAATGCCTTTCCACAGCTTAGCAGGACACACTAAGTTTTCATCTTGGAATTTTCGACAAATAGTATTCCTGATATCAGTAGATATACTAAGAACTCGGTCGTACGATACCGAAAGACCAAGCTTAAAGAAATTGTCCACTAAGTCGCGTTTACGTGTCCGGGTGTGAATAGCAAGTCCCAGGTAGATAGGAAGAGGTGTTTCACAACATCTATTGTGATGATCGTGATGGGAACATCCACTTCGATTTGAAAATTAACTGTTAAACTGAAGTAGCTGAGAAACAGTAAGTGTAGCCTGGGTTGATTTGTTTTCAGCTTGCTTGCGGATATTTGGTCCATGCAAAATCATATTTACCAGCGAGTAAAGACATTGGGGAATGGAGTCATTCTGGCAGTTCTTCTCGAATGTCCCAGCAAGAGTTTTATAACCAGCGCCAACATCTTTTCGACTTGACTTAGCAGGACATTGTAATAATTCGGCACTGTCCTTCTGACAAAGAACACATTTATCCCATATTATGGAATTCTGCATGCTAAAACAAAGTTTACAAGTACAACTTTGTTGAAATTGAGTCTTTAGATGATAATAAATCGATGCAATATATATACTTACATGTATAATAACAAACTAAAAGTATTCACATGCATTATATATCTTCCAAAACATCATTTCATCAACCCATTTTGCCTGCAACTTCTCAAAAACAACTTCTCAAAAACAACACTTTAACTTGATATTATGACATTTTTCTCTGCAAAAAATGTACAATATATTTTATTATCATGAAGCAAGTTAATGTAAACAGTGACTTAAATTATACTTACCTTTACGTTTTACAAGAGTGCTATGTAAACAAACGCAAAAACTTCACAAAATAATGAAAAATATACTAGAAAATATTTTCCCGCCAAAACATTATAAATTCAAAATGGCCACCGATTACAGTCTTCGTTGTTTATGACTGACTTGTTTATGTCTGACTTGTTTATTTATACTAACACAAAAGATTGTCCATGTATAAGCCCACCTGTATACAGGTATAAGCCCCCCCCCCCTTGCATAAGCGCCATCAAAAATCGCTTACGAAAGTATATATTAAAGTCCAAGGCTTATAGTCGGAGGTTTACGGTATGGCATCACTAACTATAAAGCTAAGATTAAAATTATGCCATTGGCCAAATTCCACCCATGTATATTTGCAAATTTCAAGAAGTATACCTAATGGCCAGTCACCTTTTACTGTAAAATTTATCTGCCTCCAACGAATATAAGTCAGGCCTTAATATATTCGTTGATAAGCATTTTTTTGATTGGGTGGTACATAAAACATGCTCCATGTTTTAATGCATAATACGTGGATTGCTATCAGAACAGTATGCAGACAATACAGTTTACAACTTTGCACAGATGGCTAATCCACTGAGTAATATAATAATGATGCTATGTTTTATTTGCATTTTTATAACATCAAATCGATAAAATATCAAAATATGTATGAATAATTCATACGTCAACGAGAGAAATATAAATATTAAACGAAATCTAATTTGAATATGGCCTCAAATATGGCGCATATTTGATAGTTTATACAATACTGAGTATTAAGACGTAACAAATACTATAAATCTTACCTTTAACTTTCTGTCTAAGACAATGAAAGTAAAAAAATCTATATAAATTATAAAATCCTTGTGATTTTATTTGAAGTCTTCGCTGCTCTGCCTGTTCACTCCTGGCGATAATACGGCTCGTTTTTTGCTCTGTGGTTTCTACGCAAAGGATCAACCTGTTTGTCCCCAACTGTACACAACTGTCTCTCATCGTCTTCAAACAATTCCCAGTAACTTACTGGAAACAATGTGCATATAATATCTATTAGTTTATTAGGTACAACGCGTGGATCAGGTGACAAGTAATCCCATAGTTCCTCGTAAAATCAAGGTTTAATTTCACTTGTGTTTTCAAAGTTTCACAAATTGTGAAACTTTGAAAACACGCATGAAATTAAACCTTAACTCTGCCCCATACGATTACCTATACAAATTGATTGTTTTTATGGTATATGAATATGAGCCCCTCCCCCCCAATTATCGAACTTGCTACGGCACTGTAATAATGATTGAGGGACAGATCGCTCGAAAAAACTCCTACGCACTTGCTCAAAAAGTCCGTAAAAAGTCCAGAAAGTCCCTAAATCGATAAAAAGTCCATGTAAATCCTTGAAAAAATCCGTAAAAATCCATAAAAGCCTCTTGCAATTTAAAATGTATGTCGAATAATAAAATGAAATTCCCTGAAAACGATGCCAAAAGCCACTATATGGTTATTATAAATACTGCATATACTTCATGTAACCACAGTTGATTATTTTATTTAACCTGACCAACCTGAAGTTCAGGCCCTGAATGCTGGTACCACTGGTTAGCTTCTGCGAGGCTCAAACAGAATGCAGCGAGGTGATTCTTGCGATCGAAAATATGAATTTGAGTATGAATTCTGGCGACTGCTCTGGTAAGTGTATTAATTTCATGCTTTTTATCATGTATAAGGGAAAGACACATGCATTACAAACTAATTCCATAACATGCTACAAATTGTTGAAGTACTGCATTAATGCAAAACTATGCATTATTATTCATAAATTTACAATGAATACAGAATTATTAAATTCAGAACATATATGCAGATTTTTATATATAGAAAGTTAAAAGCATGGATGCTCCCTGTATGTGAAAGAGAAGAAGGGTCTTCCTTGGGGTTTTCTTTAATATCTGAATTATCTGCGACTACAACCAACAAATGCTATTCTTGTACACATTTGAAAGAGTTGGAATAACACTTTACACTGATATTTGTGGTGTTACTCTGAGTGCATATCCACACCGGGCGAGCTTGAAAAATATGCCAAAGGTCGTAGGTTCGAATCCCACCGTGGCCGGGCATATTTTTCAAGCTCGCCTGGTGTGGATATGCACTCAGGGTAACACCACAAATATCATATTCACCTGAGTACACTACACCAACACAGAAAAAATTCATATTACTAGAATACATTGGTATTGAAGGAACTAGATTCTGTTCCGAAATATCACTTACTCGAACCGTCCTGACCGCGTAGCTCAGTTGGAAGAGCATTGGGCTAGTATTCGAAAGGTCGTAGGTTCGAATCCCACCGTGGCCGGGCATATTTTCCAAGCTCGCCCGGTGTGGATACACACTCAGAGTAACATCACAAATATCATATTCACCTGAGTACACAACACCAACACAGAATAATAATCAAATTCATATTACTAGAACATATTGGTATTGAAGGAACCAGATACTGTTCCGAAATATCACTTACTCAAACCTTCCTGACCGCGTAGCTCAGTTCGAAGAGCATTGGGCTAGTATTCCAAAGGTCGTAGGTTCGAATCCCACCGTGGCCGGGCATATTTTTCAAGCTCGCCGGGTGTGGATATACACTCAGAGTAACACCACAAATATCATATTCACCTGAGTACACTACACCAACACAGAAAAAAATTCATATTACTAGAATACATTGGTATCGAAGGAACTAGGTTCTGTTCCGAAATATCACTTACTCGAACCGTCCTGACCGCGTAGCTCAGTTGGAAGAGCATTGGGCTAATATTCCAAAGGTCGTAGGTTCGAATCCCACCGTGGCCGGGCATATTTTTCAAGCTCGCCCGGTGTGGATATACACTCAGAGTAACACCACAAATATCATATTCACCTGAGTACACTACACCAACACAGAAAAAATTCATATTACTAGAATACATTGGTATTGAAGGAACTAGATTCTGTTCCGAAATATCACTTACTCGAACCATCCTGACCGCGTAGCTCAGTTGGAAGAGCATTGGGCTAGTATTCCAAAGGTCGTAGGTTCGAATCCCACCGTGGCCGGGCATATTTTTCAAGCTCGCCCGGTGTGGATATGCACTCAGAGTAACACCACAAATATCATATTCACCTGAGTACACTACACCAACACAGAAAAAATTCATATTACTAGAATACATTGGTATTGAAGGAACTAGATTCTGTTCTGAAATATCACTTACTCGAACCGTCCTGACCGCGTAGCTCAGTTGGAAGAGCATTGGGCTAGTATTCCAAAGGTTGTAGGTTCGAATCCCACCGTGGCCGGGCATATTTTTCAAGCTCGCCCGGTGTGGATATGCACTCAGAGTAACACCACAAATATCATATTCACCTGAGTACACTAGACCAACGCAGAAAAAATTCAACACTTTACACTGTTAAAAACTGCCTGTAACTCAGGATAAGTAGAGTTCTGTAAACTCCCCTCAAAGGACCAAATTCCTGTTGCTTCAGACTCGCCTATTGTGACAAGATATGAACCATAACCGGTACTGCTAGCATCAGAATATATTACAACATGAGCAGTAAAAGAACGAATAATAGAATAACTGTTAAAATGATGAATATTGTTGAGCCAAAATTGAAGCTTGTCTTTAACACCAGCATTAGCTAAAACAACATCATTCCATGAAGAACTAACCGCAATACAGGCGTACATATTCCTAGTAAACAAGCGAACAACTTGGCCCATGGCCAAAGACAAGGAATTCAAAAAACCACAAAGTTTAGCTACTTTCAGAAACTTTGGGAAATGAAGACAAATTGAATTCAATTTGCACAAATGCTTTATTTAACTTTTTGTGTCATATGTGTTTTCTTCTCTAAAATGTAGTATAAAATACAATTATGAAATTGAAATCAATACCGACTACTTTAATCCCACCACTTTCAGTAAAGTTAGTGACGATAATGACATACGAGACAATATTCTGAAAAAAGGTCGTCGTCATAACGAATCAACTAAGAAATTTGCATCATCTCTATTTTGCTTAATTGGAAAAGCATTATATGAAATGTTGGAAGCAATTCTTTACCATCCGTTTCCATGTTACAAAGAAATATTTCCAGTGTAACGAAGATGAAGGAAGGGGAATTACATTTCAACAAACTTGTTGCTCATTTAAAAAACTGTAATGCCCCAATGCCCCTCACATCCAACTGGACAATACGATTCTCTATTGTAAATGCTTTTGTTCTAGAGTTTGAACAAATTGAAGAAGTGTATAAGTATTGTTAATATGCACACTGTGTTGTTACAAAACTGTCAATGCTGATGCGCCATCTTTCGTGCTGTTCGTGCTTGGTACTGATTCGAAATACACACACAAAGAGAGAACAAGAAGGTGGAAATCCATCAAAAAAACCCTCTAAAACCATGAAAAAAAATTTCAAAAGATTATTTCGGACCTACCGACCCTAATTTTTTCACAACATGAAACTGGAATCACAGGTATTTTTTTAGCCCTTACTCAAACATCACAGAAAGATTATGAAGATCTGTGCCGCCTCGATGTGTTGGGACTTGCATATACAGCTGAGCATCATCAATCTATGGTCTACAGTGAGTTCAAAGAATAATTGACTAGATCTCCATCGGGTTGGTATGAGACGGGTCTTCCTTGGCGCAGAAACCACCCACCACAACCATCAAATGCAATGGGAAGCATCGGCCAATTGCAATCTTTGGAACATCGCCTGCAACAAAAGGACTTAATCGAAGACTACAACACAGTGATCGAGCAGCAGAAACAACAAGGAATTGTGAAACCAGTCAATAACGAAGTCAAAGGTAAAGAATTCGACATACCCCACAGAGAAGTTGTACAAGAGTCGGCACAGTCAACAAAGCTGTGTATAATACCTCTGCAAAAGCATCTCCTGTAAGCCCATCCTTAAACGAATGTCAGAACAAACTTTGGGAGATACTAGCGAGAGCCCGACGTTTCCCAGTAGCAATCACAGGTGACATGGGGAAAGGATTTCTCCAGATCTGTGTAAAAGAGTGTGAAAGAAATGCACTAAGATTTCATTGGCAAGCAAACTCACTAACTGATGTGGAGGTATTGCAGTTCACCAGAGTATTGTTTGGTTTGGTATGATCACCATTCCTGCTTGGCGGAGTTTTGGAAGCGCACATAGATTACTGGAAGAACAAAGCTCCAGAAGCAGTGGACATGCTGAAGAAAAAAAATCTGTATGTTGATGACATCATTTTGAGGGGTAAGTGTGCAACTGGGATCGAACAGTGAAAGTCCTACAAAGCGAAGCATTCTTAGTCAGTTAGCTAAGATTTACAACCCAACAGGAATTGCCTCACCTCTGTTGTTGCAAGGAAAACAAGTTTACTGAGAAGTATGTGACCACAAACTACCATGGGATGTAGAATTGAAATGAGTGATTAAGAAGGGGTGGGAAAAATGGGAAGATAACTTGCCGAGCGAAGTGTCTGTACCAAGACCAATTTCACCTTTCCAAGAGCTGGTGGAAAAATTGGAGATTCATGGATTCGGAGATGGTGTTACTCGAAAGTTACTGGCTGCGAAAGTTAGACTTGCGAAGAAAGGACTCATTCCAAGGTTAAAACTTGTTGCATGCCACATGGTTACCAATTTGGTCAACAATACAAGCAGAACTCTTTGTCATATTCCACATGAGAAGCACTGCTGGTCAGATAGCACAGTAGCTTTATGGTGGATCAGGAGAAGGCACAGGGGGCTGAGGAACTGACCTTGTTATTTAAAAAATAAATTTTTAGCAGCAAAAAAGGCAAAAATATCATTAAATAACTACTATATTATATTGGTTGAAGTTAAATAAGTAATATAACTTGCACATGGACCTCACGCCAAATTACTGCGGGCGCGCACGCTTACGCTAGATTGTTTACAAGCTATATATAATGAAAGGGACGAAACTTCCAAATTTAGAATTCGGACATCATTTTCGAAACATCATAATTCGCTTAAAATTCTACAGAAACACACCATATTATGCACACGACATAGAAAGGATATAGTCTCAATATTTAACAAAAGAAATCTGGGAAAATAGTAGTTAAACCTACGAAAATTACGAATAAAATGCTGGTATATATTTCCCTATTTTCTTATGATGTGCACCGCAACAACTAGTGACGGAAGTGACGAAAGAGTTGAATTGCGCATAACAGGAAGTGGTTTTACGCGGTTTTACGCAGGCAAAGCGCTTTCCTCGAACGTATATTTGACAGCTAAGCTGCGAACTTTGTTTTGGTTTTTGAATATAAATGGTGATAATAAAAGGTAAGACTGGTATTATATTATATTACAGGTGTTTTCACGTTCAAATTGGAGTACTGTATGATTTTCCTGCAGTGTTGATGTTTAATATGTACTCAGCCTCAGGTGATGTTTCTGGGGGCCGGTTGTACGAAGCCTGTTTAACTTAATAATATCCTATGTGGATAAGACCAAAGTATCGAAGAAGTTTATTCCAAATGACCAACCAAATTAAGCCGTAATAAAATCCGGTAGGTTTTCCCATTCAATAGAATCATCACTGCATTTGTTTTTAACAAGCGAGTATACCCACGTTCTCATCCCGTTTATTCTTTTTTAGAATTTATTCAAATTTGGGAAAACCTCTGCCAAAATTTTCCCTAATTCAACTACATGCAGGTCGCAGTTTTCTTTTTCAGAGCAATTGTTATTGTATTCTTGAGGAATATTTTGAAGTGTCACAAATGACTGAGTACTGTCTGCGTCTGTTCGGTAATATATTCGAAGCCTGCAAGTATATAGTATATTTCTTTCTTATTTAAAGTAGCGAAGGTATGAAATGTTATTATATATGAGAAACATACTATATTAAGGTATATCAAATTAATAGTATATATTTAGCTAGTATATATTTAGAAATACGTTTTTATACTGGTTTAAATTAATATTATAGTGTTCAGTTATTTTCAAACATCTTACCAATTTGAAACAATAACATGTTTTTCTCTGTTGTACACAACTTCGGTTTTTTATTAAATTTATTGTTTATTTCTATATGGGATGCGTGTCGTTTAAGAATAGATCTGTCCATTCTACAATATAAATATTTCGGTTTCCCTCCACACTTGTTGTTTTTTAAAAAACAGAATATAATTAGCAATGGAATTTAAGTGGAATCACTTCCTGTACGTCACTTCCGTCACTAGTTGTTGCGGTGCACATGCAACGATGCAATATTGAAAGTTTCTTCCCTTTCTCAATTTTCTTTCGTCCCTCCCTCGGGTGCACATCGTTTCCCGAAGCAAACTTTGTTTGTGATTCGGGCAATGCAAGCCTGCAGTGTAGTGGGTTGCGGTTATACACAAGTTCCAAAACAAAACTTCGAATTTGAAAATATATAAACTTAATATACATGTGTGATGTTTTTATATCTTGAATTAAGTGGAATTAATTGATGGATGAATTCAATTAATTACAAAAGATGATATTTAGATAACAAGGTAAGTCATTCGATTGTTTATTTAAAGTAAAACAAAACACGATCGTTCCTCTGCCCCCTGTGGAGAAGGCCAGTATAAGCAGTTTGTGGCAAATCAAGTAGCAAAGATTCGAGATGCTGAAGGAATCGAGTAAGCATCATGTACCGACAATGATGAACGCTGCTGATTTAAGCAGCTGGTTAACAAAGTAGCTAAACTAAGCAGTGCAAATAAGAAGTCGAGAGGTCCAGAAAAAAAGAAATTTAATCAATATAAGCTTGGGCGGTTTTGGTTAAAATTAAAACCGGTAAACCGTACGCTAAAAAACCGGTTAAACCGAAAAACCGGTTTTTTTATCTTAAAAAATTAACGCAATTCCAATATTGAATAACGTGCAATAACCGCAATCCTAGCGCGCAAATAACGTGAAATCGACGTTCAATGGTTGGAAACGTCATTTCGATGCCTGTTCAACCTTGAAACAATGTCAATTTCATGTTGTGTGCGCGCTGGGGAATAGTTCCAAAGAAAACATAATATAAACTCTCAACAATTGCACAAATTACACGAGTTTTAGCGGTAAGGTTTGATAATTGTAATTTTATAATTTGTTTTTCCCATCTCCAATAATCAATATTATAAAGCATTTAATAAAATATATACAAATGTTTATGCTTATATGAATTAATTCAATTAAACCGAATGCGAAAAGTCAATAGTGTTGTCAAAAGTTTAAGTTCACAAATTGTTAGCCAAAAAAACCAACATATCGACCTTGTGTGGTTTTAGTAGGGACCGTTTGGTGGTAACGATGTTGCCAGCGACACTAAAAAGACGCTCGGATGAGGAGCTTGTACCACAAATACATAAGTATTTGCAAGCAAGTTTGGCCAATCTGGGATATGCAGGTGCTTGCATGCTCCACCACTGAAGTGGGTCGGCACTCAGGGTGACTTTGGGTGCACTTAGATACCGAGACATTTCCAAATCAATTTGGGCATCACGAGTTAAGGCTGAGGCAGTGGACGCAGCGCTGATGATTTCTTGATTTGGCCCAGAAGCTTCGCAAGTGTTTTTTTTTTCTTTGCTGCTGGTGGTTGCCCGTCATTTGATTCGTCCATGGCGTTGGGATTGTCCGTATCTCCTCGGTTATCATTGGAACTCGTTTGCCAGTTCAAGTTCGAATATCTCCCTCTTGATATTTTCAGCAGCATTTTTGGCACCCTCTTCACACAAGTATTCAGTCTTGTATCGAGGGTCCAACCAAGTAGCCGTGTTCAAGATGATCTGAGCTGTGTCACTTGTGTATCGTTTCTTAAAGTTTTCTTGAATTTTGGCTTTTACGTCGGCCGTCAGTCTCGTGTGATCTGGTTCCGCTGTTGAAGCATTCTCGATGAAGCGAAGTGTGGGTTTGATAGAACTAACGGTGACATACGAGTCGCCGGATAATGCGTCGGTAAAGTCTGCCATTGGCTCCAGGGCTTTGTGTAAAGATTTCAGAACTTCGATATCCTGCCACTTCAACACCAGATGGGAAACTTTTCGGTCTTCTGATAGCACTCGCTGAATTGCTCTCTCTTGCTCCAATATCCGTGCAATCATATTGTGCATGGAACCCCATCTCGTAGGGCATTCCTGTAAGTCAAAATAACAAAAATTAAGGTGTTGGAGCGAACGATATTGGTTTTTATTGTAATGACGTGATGTCACTCACTCAACACCAGGACCATAGGGGTCGGAACTTAGAAACTAAAGAGATATGACATGTTATGTGACAATGCGAAATAATTTTGTAAGTTAAAGTTAGTGTGGGTATAAAATTATACTTACGGAAACAAGAGACTTGACGGGAAGTTCAAGCTCAAGTTGTGCCTTGCTAAGCTCCCTACGTCGTTTCCAGCTCTGACTGAATGCCGCCACAATGCGCTTGCAAATTCCAATTGCCCGTGAAATGCGAGGTTCATCCTTCATAGCATAGGTAATGGCGAGGTGGAGATTGTGGCCAAAGCATGAAATCCATGACCAATTTAGATCACTAGCCGCTTTCCCAATATTCGCCCCGCTGTCCGTAGTCAGACACACTTGATTTGCGGGTGAGAGTTGCCATTCATTCAGTATTTCATTCATCCCATCTGCAAGGGTTTCAGCAGTGTGATCTTTTGGCATGTACAGCGTTTGGAGACATCTGCTTTGAAGTTTCCAGTCAGGGTCAATGAAATGGATTGTGTAAGACATATACGGCTCCATTGTATTGCTCGACCACATGTCTGATGTGGCAGAAAAGAATTCAGCATGTTGAAGTTGCTGCAATACGCCATCTTTTGTTTCATTGTACAGCTTCGGAATTGCTTTCTGGCTAAAGTACTTTCTGCTAGGAAGTTCATATTTCGGATCGAAATCGTTTAAAAGTCGTTTAAAAGTCGTTTAAAGCCAGATTTCTCTACCGTGTATATTGGCATCATGTCCTTGGCCAAACAGTGGGTGACCGAGTTGGTTAGTTTCTGCCACTGTTTTCCTCCCCTTTCATATTTTTGCATCTTAGAAAATGCCTCGGAAATAGATGATTGCCCCCGGGTTGGTGGCTGTCAACCTTTGGGTTTGCTTGGCCCTTGACCTTGTTTCCCAAGCTCTTGTGCCTTCGCAGGATGATTGCGGAGATGCCGTTGAAGGTTGGAAGTATTTCCTCCAGCCGCAGAAACCTTTTTGAGGCAAAGCTTGCACGTCGGCTTGGTGTTGTCGTCTTCATCGGTTTTAAAGCCGAAATATTGCCAAACTGGGGATGTAAACGACTTTTTTGAACGTAAATCCGCAGCGCTAACATTTGGTGTAGCCATGTTTGCACTGATAATTGGTGAAGTAAAGACTTTATTGCATTTACAGCTTTAGGCTGCGTCTGCAAATGAATTTGACACCGCACGCCTGGGTAAAATATGTCATCACAACAGTCACTATATGTCAACTTTGCTTAACAATTAACAATTATATATTGCACTTTTTGATATGTAATAAAACCGGTTTTCTGGTTATTGAAAAAAAAACCGGTTTAATAAAAAAAAACGTACAAAACCAGAAAACCGCCCAAGCTTAAATCAATATTCAAAAAAATACTAAATAAGAGTATGCAAGCAGCTCAAAGAACAATGTCAGACAGCATTTTCATTCCTTGGACAGTATAGTTTTGTACCATCAAAAATTGAGCTGTACAACGAAGGTACTGGTGTGGCAGATAGTTTTACCTTTACTGACAATGATGAATTTGTAGTGGCTGAAAGCTGAGGAAATTACTGAAGATGAGCTAAATAACTTGAATTTGTGGCTATACATTAAAGATAAATTTAACATTTCACATGAAGCCTGGCACGAAATTGCTATGAAATCAGATGATCCACCATGCCTATACAAAATTATGAAGCAAATAAAACAAATCAACCGGAAGTGGAATGTGAAAGCTACCCCTGGGGAAGCAGAAGGAGTTCAGGCAAGTTTTAAGGAAATTATTGTTGACCATGTCAAAAGATTGAAGAGCAATGGAATTATTAAAGATGGAGAAACAATAAAAATTAAACATTGGAAAGCAGATGTATGTTGTAAACACAACCTTTACAATTCTTAATGAGAAGAATATAGCTATGAGTGAAAAAGGTAACTATATCTTAGCAGTAATTAAGGCAAGTGAAAGTTATGACACCTTGGCTGAAAGTCTGGCTGATATAATAACCAAAATGCAAGATCTACAGAAGATATCAGCTGATGATAAGACATTTGATTTTGAATATTTCCTTGGTGGTGACTGGAAATTCCTGGCTTGTGTGTGTGGAATAGGTGCTGGCAATGCTAACCATGCATGTATAGGGTGCAAGTGTGCAAATCTAGACAGATGCGACACTAGTAACCACTGGTCAATTCTGGTTCCAGAACATGGAGCACATATATTAAATGAAATTCTAAAAAATGCTGGATCTAAGAAAGTTAATTGCAAGTCTAAACCACTCTTCATGTTTATTCCTTTAAGTCATGTAGTGATTGATACCCTTCACCTGTTCCTGAGAATTTCAGATATCCTAATTAACCTGCTGATAAGGGAACTCAAATTTCATGACTCAATTGAAAAGAGGACCAAGTTTTCTGGTGGATTTAACAAGGGAAAATTGAGGCATATGGCTCAGTGCAAGACCTATTTGCAAGAATTGAGCATTCCTTTTCATTGGTATGTTGGCAAGGAAAGCAAACAGTTGGAGTTTAGGGAGTTAACTGGGCCCGTAAAAGTCAAGCTATTCCAACACATCAACATATCCTCATTGTTGCCAAATTCAGACAACCATGAAACCACACCGAAAATTTGGGATGGGTTTTGGAATATCATCCAGGACCAAAAACAAGATTTTAACCATGAAGATGTGGAATGCTTTAAAGGCAAGGTTACTTCTTGGCTTGAACTGTTTCTAACTGTTTATCAAGCAAAAGATGTTACCCCTTACATGCATGCACTTTATGCACAAGTACCAGAGTTTCTTCAACTATATACAAACCTAGAATACTTCATCCAGCAAGGAATGGAAAAATATGATGTCACCTCAAAAAACTTCTTCCGATCAAGTAATCACAGGAGTTTCAGCACTTCAACAAATTTTTTATAAAAAGAGCCGCATCCAGTATTTGGAGCAAGCTGGTTGTGCTAGGATTAAGAAGAAATACAAATGTTCTAACTGTGATAAAGAAGGTCACACAATAAAAACATACAAAAGGACAGTAACTCCAAATAACATTTTGTAGCTTTAATGAATCTACATTTCGACTATATTTTAGTCATCATCAGGACAGATTAGTGTAATGTTACAAGTATTGAGATATATATAGTTAAGAAGGAGGAGCTTAATAGTGTCACTGAAATATGATCAGTTCTTTTGAACAAGCCCGTAGCTGGCTCTCAATTTCTGGGGGGGCACTCACTCCAGAAAGAATGTAACTGACCGTTTGAGATGAAAACAATTTTTTTTCGGAATTTATTTTGGCGGACCACCCCCCCCTCGTCACAAAAAAATTTCGGTCAGTGTACCATTTTAGGGGTCAAAAATTTTTTCCGGACATACCAATTTTCCGGACATACTCCATTTTTCCAAAACATAACAAAATTTTTCAAAAATCACAAAATTTTCCACAAAATTTACAGAATTTTTTCCATTATTACAATTGGTTCCCAGGCCCTTTATCTCAATTTTTCATACCCGATTTCCGAGTAGGGGGGCACTGCCCCACCGAGTGAGGGGGCATTGCCCCCCCAGGCCAGCTACGGGCCTGCTTTTGAAGCTTTGGCGCCGTGGTTGAGTTCTGGTTTCCTTCTGCGAATTGCAAGGGATTCTTTATATAATAGTAGAGACCAGTGATCAGATCTATCAATTATCTTACAGTTCTCAAATATAAGTTGTGTTGTGTTAGTGTTTATAGTTTCAGTAGAATCAGGCGTTAGTTCCATTAGGGTTTTGATGTGTTGGAAGTGCTCACAAGAGTTAATGTGGGCATTAATTTCTGAACTTTCGCGATTATTGTGTTCTTTAAGGTGCGTGAAAAGCCTTTGGCGCCGAATGAAAGGGAAATAATCTCCATTGTGATCATATGATCACCACTCATCAAACTTCGAGTCATAGCCTTTGAAGTGTATTCGAACCATTTCACGCTCCCAGTCAACTTCACATACCTCAATATCATAAAGTTTGTTGTCCTTTCTTGGGTTTTTTACTTATTTACAGATAAAAAAGCCATCAGTAGCAACAAATTTGTCAAAAAAATGCTGAGGTCACTTCAAAAGTCACTTTGGCCTTGATGCCATCTTTGTTTATGATTTGGCTCCCAAAGGGGATTAGACCCGATTTAGGGCAAATGTCCTAATTAGTATTATGAGAGTTTGATATATAAATAAAAAATAAATACTCACTGTACTATTGAGTAAGCTATAATTAGAAAGGACCATATCATTGCTCTACTTTAATTACACAAAACAAAAAGATGAACAGCAAGATATGTGGTGTTGGAATGTCACACAATAACAAGACATTTGGTAGTAACATGTAGTAGTTTTATCATTTCTCACTATCTTTCAACCTTTCATTTTTGTTACTGTGCCATTGTTTATTCGAACCCCTAAACTCTCCTTCATTCTCCCCATTAACTAGTTTCACCCCTTTTTAGTTTCTATAATTGTAATTGCCAGAATTTATCACATATATGCAGTTTATACTATGAAGTTGGAGTAAATAACAATAAATTTGAATATTGGTCCTCTAATTATTTAGGTTACACAATGTCTCACACCAGTACTTGTCCCATTACCAATTTCCTATTCTTACACCACATTTGTTTGTGTTACAACAGTTGAATGTTGTGCCAGAGCTAGAATGTTACCATATAGAGGATGGTGATCTACGAAAAAGGGTGAGGCACTTACAAAGTGTAAAGAACCATCTATGGAGATGGCAAAGAGAGTACTTGACGAGTTTACGGCAGTGTCATCAGACCAACATCAAGTCAACTGCAGTTGCTCCCGAGGAAGGAGATATTGTGTTGATTAAAGGCGAAGAGAAGAACAGAAACTGGAAAATGGGAAAGGTTACAAGGTTAATTCATGGGAAAGATAACATTGTCAGGGGAGTTAAGCTTCAATGCACTTTGAGATCCTATTGTTTTCATCCACAAATTTTACAACCTACAAGAATTACAGATCATTCAGCAACTCTTACTGATAATATTTTCTTTAATTCCTTGGATTCCTTATTTTCTTTAATTCCTTCCTCCTATTAGTGGTAATATATTATGTGATATATTACTGACCATCTTCCAAACTTCTTGATTGTCAACAAGATATCCAATCTGACTGGTGGTAATTTTAACTATTATAAGAGAGACTACTCTAAATTTAATAAAGATTCCTTTCAAGCAGATATGTCTAGTTTGGAATGGCATAGTATTTTACAAAGAAACAATAATTTTAATGATACTTTTGAAATTCTTCACTCTAAAACTATGAAAATTGTTGATAAACATGTACCTTTAGTTAGAAAAACTAGAAAGGAGATTAAAACTATGTCTAAACCTTGGATAACTCTAGCTGCTATTAGAAATTCAATTGAGGTTATATAAGAAATATCTAATGACAAAAAAAGACTGTTATAAGTCCAAATTTAAGCATTATCGAAACAAATTAAATCATCTGCAACAAATTAGCAAAAGAACATATTACGAAAATTACTTTGTGATGTTACTCCGAGTGTATATCCACACTGGACGAGCTTGAAAAATATGCCCGGCCACGGTGGGAATCGAACTTTGCAAAAAATAATCAGAATATTAAAAATATCTGGAAAGGTATCAAACGTACAGCTTAATTATTATTTTGAAGCCCAGGGGTAACAATATACCAACAAAAATTATTAAAGATAATCATGAGATAACAAACATTAGAGATATATATCTCGGGCTTTTAATGATTATTTCTCAAATGTTTGTAAGAATTTAGCTGATACTATACCTACTACTATTACAACACCATACAGTACCATGGGGGAGTGTGATAAATAGCATTTTTATGTATGCCACCACAAAACAAGAAATTGAGATGGAAATTAGCAAACTCAAGCCGTCTAAAGCAACAGGTCCCTTTTAATATTTAGCATATAGCTGTGAATTTATCTACAGGAGTACAGCTGTTGAAAAAGCAAAGAAACAGCAGCATTTTGGCCAAAGATTTCAGTATGGGAACATTTTCTTGGGGAAGATAAAAATTGAATATGTTACACTTGAAAGAGTTTATATATGGCAAATTCATAAAATACATGAACAACATAGGCCGTGGGCCGTGATCAAAAATTGTTTCGTTTTGTGGCAACCCTCTGGGGTTGATATATATAAATTTCAAGCTGAATTATAATTGCAAAAAAAGTTCCCAAACGAAATACCTGCCAGTTCTCGAGAAATCTTTCTTTAAAGTTTCAAAATATTGTTTCCATTTTTTGCAGCCGCCATCTTGAATTTTAAGCAGAAACGCCTTTTGAGAGATGTCTTTTAATGAAAAAATACTCGGTTCATTCCCATTGAACTAAAATATATGGAACGCTACCTACTGCCAGAAGTTTGAAGCCGCGATTTCCGGTTAGAACCAAGTCTTTCCTCGCGATAAATATACGCGGCCAAAACACAAGCATTTAAATTTGATTTTATAAATTGTTTTAAAAAATATCCTCAAATGGAATCATGTCGCTGCCGAAAGATGTTTTTTATTGAATAAACTATGACTAGTTTTTATTTAGAATTTACACTTACGTTATTTGTTTTGTTTTTCGAAATGCCAGGTGAGCAGAATGCAAAGTTAAACCTAGTTTTGTCCCTGAGTGTGGAAAAATAAAAATCTTTCATATGTACTTTTGACCGACCTTTAAACATGACGATAACAACCCTTATGAGCCATGAATAAGGAATAAGAAATAGTATATTATTATTTATTTATTATTATAAGTATTTATTTATTCATTTTACTTCACTAAAAATTCACATTTCACAGGTATTTATTTATTTTTTGTTTACTTTACTAAAAATTCACATTTCACAGGTATTTATTTATCCTTTGTTTACTTTACTAAAAATCCACATTTTTTCCTGCCAATGTTCCCAAGCCGGCCAAGGTGGGCAAACGGAGAAACAATGTTTCCGCAACTATAATCTTAGTCTGAACTTGGTAGGAAACATTCTTGTTTCTCAAGAAGCAAAATTTGTTTCTGCAACAATGTTTCCACGGGTGGGCAAATGGGAAAACATTTGAGGAAACATTGAGAATCACTAATGTTTCTGCAACAATATTTCTTAGTTTGGGCTTAATTATACACAAAAAAACAAACATAAACCTGATATTTGTGATGTTACTCTGAGTGTATATCCACACCGGGCGAGCTTGAAAAATATGCCCGGCCACGGTGGGATTTGAACCTACGACCTTTGGAATACTAGCCAAAAAAAATCATATTACTAGAATACATTATCGAAGGAACTAGATTCAGTTCCAAAATAGCACTTACTCGAACCGTCCTGACCGCGTAGCTCAGTTGGAAGAGCATATTGGGCTAGTATTCCAAAGGTCGTAGGTTCGAATCCCACCGTGGCCGGGCATATTTTTCAAGCTCGCCTGGTGTGGATATACACTCAGAGTAACATCACAAATATCATATTCACCTGAGTACACAACACCAACACAGAAAAAAACATAAACCTGTGATATTAGATACTTCAAAGAAAATATAACAAAAACAAGCCTATTTGACACATTTTGACTTTTGACATGTGTACATCACCTGCAACAAAAAAAACACAAGAATAAGACAAGCAGACAGACAGAAGGGTGGTAATTAAGCTGAATTTATATAAAAATTATTATTATTGTTATGGATTTCCTTTGAAAAATAATGCTTTACAAATATGTTGGGAGAATTATGTTCAAAAAAGTTAATAAAAAGCCATGGCAAGTCAACCAGGACAGTCGTATAGGCAGCAAGCATTTCCAATCAACTGATTAGATCTTGCCTCCTTCATCCAACAACACATGTCGACTCAAAAAATATGCTTTTCCATCTGGTTCACCTGTACATTCTGACCCACCAACATTAACAGCACATAACGAGGAATTAAACAGAAGAACAGACCGTGAGACCTTGTCCAGCACATGAAAATGATCCTTCAATTTCAGAAAAAAAGACCAAGATGTGCCTCAAGTGATGAATTACACAAAATTACATCCAGGCTTTATTGATGAGGTATTCTCATCCCTTTCTCAGAAGGTTGAGGTAAGCATTATCAGCCGAGCCGAGCCCAATCAAATACTGACAAAGATTACTGTTTGGTAATAGATGCAATGTCTATCCAAAAAACAAACCATTTGGAATCCAGAAAAAGACTCCTACGGATTTGTAGACTTTGGAAATGAGATTCCTAGGTGTTTTAGTGATATCCAAGGGGGCAAAAACGATATCCTAAAGGGGGTATCAAGATATCCATGGGGTAACTTACAAAAATCACATCCAAGGGGGTTCTAAAATGTTTATATCCTAAGGGGATTTGGAAGGGACCCCTCAATAGGGGGGTGCCTGGCTATATTTAATAAATGGAATGGCCCATTGATGGAGATGGCAACATCATAAGATGGAAACATATCGAAGAGCTTCAGAGTATTCAAGAACAAGAAGGATTGAACCTGGCAAACAAACTGTCCTCAAATCAAATACAATTTCAGTTACTCTGTTGCAGATGCGATTGAGCTTCATGCATATTTAATAAATTTAGTAAAGGTTACGTGTTTACAACTTTACAATGCCACTCTGAATCTCTGAATCCATGTTGTTTGTGTACACGTTCAATTTGAACGAAAAAATGTTTCATTTCCCCGATTTACCGATCGGATACACGTATGAAAAGTTATGATTCATGCTGTATTGAATGAAAATTTAACTGATTAGCTCCATAACAAGAGAAGTGCCTTCCTTTTCAAAACCTTTTCAATCACATGTTGCTATAAATGCATGTTGGTTGGCTGTCGCTGTTCTTCGGCGCCACGCAGGAAACGCGACAATGCGCGTGAATTTTACCTCCAGACACACGTGTCTGGAGGTAAAATTTGGCTTCAGGCAAGTTTGGGCATGTTCAGTTAAGGTAGCGTTCCATATATTTTAGTTCAATGGTTCATTCCTTTTGCGCAACATCACCCATTTTCCCGCCAAAAACAAGAAATACTTAAAACTATGTCTGCAAGAAAACATAATTGTCCGGATTTGAAAATTCATTCATGTTTGATCCATTATTCGGGAACACTCAGGTAGATTCATGCATGGGTCAAGTTTCAGCCAAGGTCGAAATATGGGCATACCAAGTTGGGTGCGATTTTTAAAAAGAAAACAAGGTTAAGTTTAACCTTTCATGGTTTAATGTTATAGATTTTGACCTGGTGAATTTTTTACCCATTTTTATTTTATTTGTTCTTTACATGAGCAGTTATATGGCCTTAAACGTCAATAAACACAGGTTAAATGGAACTCCATTTTGCAGACTCATAAAATCGCTTTCCTCAATTGCCATTTTGGTTTAATGTTGTACTAAACGAAACCAAAAGACCAAAACTGATAGGTGATAAAAAATCATTAATCGGGGGCGTACGATTGTTGCATGAGTAAGATAGAAAATGCTCGCGCCTTTTGTCTAATTAATAATCAAGTATTGTCTATTAAAAATTACGGTGTGTGATGTTTTTGACAACCATGGTGTTTGATTTTGAAACATTTCCGTCGCCGGGCACTACATATGCCTTTATCAGTGATGGGTAATACAAAGTGTATGAGTATCAGACAGCTAGGTTTCAGTTTTCACTAACTCATGATTTCGCATGTGACAAAAATGACAAAGTTCATTTGGCATTGCGAAGTTCAACCTTCCTATATAATTGGTTCTGAAATAAATTAAGCCAATCAAATGCTTTGTTTACAAATACATTTTGTAAATATATTATAGTATGACCTCTGTCTCGGACCAATGTCTCTGGCACTGTCTGTTAGTATGTGGAATTATCTGTATTTCTAGTCTACAGGATGGCTAATAAACTGGACGATCGTCCTTACCTTGTGCTTTTCCAGTATTAGTTTACCCATTTAAAACTCCTTCTGCGACCACACAGAAACTTTGGTAGTGTTAAACGTAGAGTCTCATGATGATTCAGTATAAAAAACCAAACGTAACACTGTGTGTGATATTTTGGCTACCTCTGTCGGAAACAAATTCAATAGCCTATTCAACACACGACCAAGTGACATGATAATTAGGAGCCATTAGGAAAATTGTTTGTTCAGAAACATGTATGTGATGTGTAGGTTATTTTGATTCGTGACTCTTTACTAGAAAGCGATTATAAAAATGCGGATTGATGATCACTTTGTCATTCTGCAATCTGCTCTCATCGGCGGCTGTTCTGATTATCGAATTATCAAAACATTTACATTTTATACTTTACAAGATGGCTTCTCGTGGATTACTTTGTCAGCCTGCAAAGCCAAAGCGAATTCTGATATTTTTCAGTGTTGACCAGACAACGGCTGTTCTGGAGACGACAAAAGTAAAACATGCAATTAAAGGTGACGTGGTCCAAGAGGGAGCAACTGTGCTTGTGGAATTCGGGAAGGAGAACTTCGAAGCAAGTGTGATCAAGCTACATGGTAAATAAAAAACTAAACTTTCCCGTTCAGTTCTAACTACTGTTAGGCACTAATAGGCAAAATATTCGCTTATATATCAAGTTGCAAATTCCGGTGACAGTAAACATTTTTATTTGGCTTTAATCAGGGCCCTAGGGGGCTTTCCTTTCACTTGCAAGAGCAGCTGGAACACCGCTAGTATTATTTACAACTTAATACATTGCATTTTCTTCTGTATTATATAGATGATCCTAGCGTTCTAGTAGAAGCAGAGACGGACTTTTTAATTCAGATGTTTGGGAATGAAAATCAAGAAGTGACTGTTGACAAGGAAAATATGCCACCGACTACGCTGACAACTGGGAAAGAGACACAAGGAAATAACACGAAGGCAACTTCTGTATCGTCAAAGCCAAAGGCTCGGCCAAAGGAAGTAAGAAAACGAATGAAATCCAAAGAATTATCTGATCAGTCAAAGGCAAAAAGACCAAAGACGGTATGTCTATGTCTAAATTCTTTCCAAAATCCAAATAGTATCATATGGTATGTTACTTGGGGGCATGCAATCACAAGGTTTCAACTGATTTTTGGCTCAATTAAGAAATACACAATCAAATATAATTACACCAATCATGATTCATGAAGAGATTTAATAAAGCCTGCATTTCTTTAACTACTGCTTTCTGAATAGAATAATTACTGAAAGAACATTTTTTAACTTGCATGTATATACACATTTCAAACCAATGCAGTCATATTTATTTAGAAAAAAGCTGTTGGAAAGTTGAAAACTTGTGGCTGAATGTTACAAAGTCTACAAGTTCCTGGACTAAAAATCGCTTAATCCTTTAAGTGGCACTGTGTCCTGATGTGCCCTAGCTACTTTGTTATTTTACTTTGCCTGATGCCAGACAACAATTTTACTCGTCAGGCAGAGATTGAGTGCTGCCACACAATGAGTTGATTAGACTATCTGCCTGTACCTCACTGGCAGGCCCATACACACCCTGTTAACCCTAATCAGTGCCACTGTGCCGAGATGTACCCTACTTTATTATTTTGCTCTGTCTATATAATTCCAGATCATTTTACTCTGCACACTATATGATACTGCAGTCCTCTGATGTACCGTAAGCAACACTCATGATGTCGCATTGTTTCGGCATCTTCTAAATCAGAAACTTTAATCTATGTCTACTTGATTTATGTAACCCATTGAGTGGCAACACTCTCCCTTGACGTAAAATTGTCTGGTGTCAGACAGAGTAAACTAATCTGGCATTAGGCAGTACTCTGCATTTGCTGTGTGATAACTGTAGTCCTCTCACTGATATAAACAATACTGATGTTGCATTGTTTTGGCATCTTCTAAATCAGAAACGTTAATCTATGTTGATTTATTTAAGTTCCATTGAGTGGCAGTACGTACTCTGCATGTGCTGTGTGATACTCTAGTCCTCTGATGTAAACAATACTGATGTCACATTGTTTCAACACCTAAATCAGAATCTTTAATCTATGTTGATTCATGTAACCCATTGAGTGGCAGCATTCTCCCCTGACAAGTAAAATTGTCTGGCGTTAGACAGAGTAAACTAATCTGGCATTAGGCAGTACTCTGCATTTGCTGTGTAATAACTGCATGTAGTCCTCTGATGTCTAGTGAAACAATACTGATGTTGCATTGTTTCAGCATCTTCTAAATCATGCAGAAACTTTAATTTATGTTGAAGCTAGATTACAAGCTAGATTGTGACTCCTTAATTAAACATAAATAACCCATGTGTTTGATGGAGGGCTTTTCTGTATATGTTACTTTATACTAGCTGTGTGTGGGGCACTGGAGGCAATCACAAGGTTTCAACTGATTTTTGCATACATGTCCAATACTGTCGACATGATACGGATCGTGAAGCAGCTTCACGATCCGTCAAATTCGTACGGACCGTAAACACGAGTCACGATCCGTATCAACTCGTAAACGCAATAGGTGGTCTCCAATAGCGGATGCTTGTTGCCCAGATCTACCAACAGTTCGACGGATCGTACCGTTCGTATGGCTCGTAAGACGATTCACGATCCGACAAATCCGTACGGTCCGTGAAATGGCTTCACGGACCGTACGAAGCGTATACGGTTTGTGAAAATGAATGATTTACAGGTCGACCTAAAATAGGAAACCATGCAATATATCAATATAATATATTGTTGCTCCGTTCTTTAGAAACCACGCAATTTATCAGTATAATATGCAACATATGAATATAATATATTGTTGCTCCGTTCTTAAAGAACCACGCAATACTGTCAATATAATGTATTGTTGCTCCGTTCATAAGGAACCACGCAATATATCAATACAATATATTGTTGCTCCGTTCTTAAGGAACCACGCAATATATCAATATAATATATTGTTGCTCCGTTCTTAAGGAACCACGCAATATATCAATATAATATATTGTTTCTCCGTTCTTAAGGAACCACGCAATATATCAATATAATATATTGTTGCTCCGTTCTTAAGGAACCACGCAATATATCAATATAATATATTGTTGCTCCAGTCTTAAGAAACCACGCAATATATCAATATAATATATTGTTGCTCCGTTCTTAAGGAACCACGCAATATATCAATATAATATATTGTTGCTCCGTTCTTAAGGAACCACGCAATATATCAATAGGTTCGTGAAAATGAATGATTTACAGGTGGACCTAAAATAGGAAACCACGAAATATATCAATATAATATATTCATTTGTTGCTCCGTTCTTTAGAAACCACGCAATTTATCAATATAATATGCAATATATCAATATAAATATTGTTGCTCCGTTCTTAAAGAACCACCCAATACTGTCAATATAATATATTGTTGCTCCGTTCTTAAGGAACCACGCAATACATCAATATAACATATTGTTGCTCCGTTCTTAAGGAACCACGCAATATATCAATATAATATATTGTTGCTCCGTTCTTAAGGAACCACGCAATATATCAATATAATATATTGTTGCTCCGTTCTTAAGGAACCACGCAATATATCAATATAATATATTGTTGCTCCGTTCTTTAGAAACCACGCAATATATCAATATAATATATTGTTGCCCCGTTCTTTAGAAACCACGCAATCCTATATCAATATAATATATTGTTGCTTCGTTCTTTAGAAACCACGCAATATATCAATATAATATATGTTGTCGCTCCGTTCTTAAGAACAACGCAATATATCAATATAATATGTTGCCGCTCCGTTCTTAAGAACAACGCAATATATCAATATAATATGTTGTCGCTCCGTTCTTAAGAACAACGCAATATATCAATATAATATGTTGTCGCTCCGTTCTTAAGAACAACGCAATATATTAATGACGTAAAGAGTCAGATGTATGTGGTCAGTATCGCATATTCTACGTTAGCCATATAGACCAAGTGGTGGAGTGTGTATATTCTGCAATACCACGGCTTAGTGGACTTTATAAACTCGTCTGCATGCTTGGAAACTGTAAACAATGTTACAAATAAATGTTAATAAACGCAATTTTATATAAAACATTTTGTCAAAATTTTCCCCATTATTACATTAATTAAAAATTATGAGCCAGGTTTTATTATGCAAAATATATCCTGATATCTTAAAACGCGTAATTCTTTGCTTTGCAAAGAAAACAATGGGCGGAACTGTTACTGTTCGGCATACGGGTCTGTATAAAAAACAGAATATGAAACTTGAAGCAAGTTAAAAAGTAATCAAATAGCATGCACGTATATTTATGTAATTTAACTGATTCTCGCAAGTACTAGTTTTACATCAGCAATATGTGTGAAGCAACAAACTTCGTCATAACTTCATCAAAAAGACAAATATCAGAGAGAAGATGAGCTTTGTTCAGAAGTGTTGATGGCGATATGTTTTACCCACCGTCGGTGTGGCCAAATGATATGAGAAGTGCGTTTTGGAAGAAACCAATTGGTGATGAAGAAACATTTAAGTTAGTGCTGTTCCTGATGGGCAACGGCTGTCCGCCAACAATGATAAAAGATTGGATTGTGTCTTCAACATTTTGGGATAAAAATAAAACAGTCAAACGATGGGAACAAGTAAATTGGATTATAGCGAACATTACTAAACATGAGAGAAGATGGTTTTATTTTGATCTACATTTCAAAAAGTTTTTGTATATGGATCGATCTCAGTAAAAGAGTAAAAGGATCTAGTTCAAACTGATGCATGCATGCATTATTTAATAAACTAATTTGAACCATATAATCTTTGTGAACTATACCTTTGAAGGTCTTTTAGTTAAAGTTTGCAAACAGTTTAAATTAATATTAAATTATTATATTTTATATAATATAGTCTCCTTTGACACTTTGTGACTATTTCTTCTATCTTAAGTTTCTATTCAGTAGAAGTTGAAAGACTTCACTATTCAGTTCGCGCAATGGCAATGGCAATGTTTTTGCTTTTAAAAAATGAAGCATGATACATGAATGATTATATAGATGCGGCTGTGTAGTTCCGTTCAGTTAAGTTAACGCAATCAAATGCATGAAAGTTATATATAATATATATTTCTAGTTATTCAATTTACACAATGCAGTTTTAAAAAACGAAGCATGATATATGAATTATTATAGTTATAGACCACTACTGTGAAGATTATAGTATGTTAGTATAGTTCAGTTCAGTTCAGTTCACGCAATGTTTTTAAAATGTGAAAGTTTATTTATATATAATATTTCCAGTTATTCAATTTACGCAGAGTTGCGTCTAAAACTATTGAAAATTAGCTCTTCTTGGGACCTAAGTTGATGAATTTCACTTCAATAGTTCAATACACTACCCACATATGCATACAGTAATTATTATGAAATCTCAGCTTAAGCTATGACACCTTCCTGATTAATTGCTTTTTCTAGTATATACACTGCTTTTAGTGCTTTAATAAGGAACATAGTCATAGGTGAGAATATGCGATTCCGACTAACATTTTTTCTCCTACTTAGAATAGATATTTATTAAAAGTCACTTTCCAGCAACCCTGCCTGAATTACGTACATTTTTACAATAGTATGTAACTTTAAATATTAGATATGTTAGTCTACTCAATTATTATAGTATAGCATGGATGGTATAAAAATGCCATTCTAAAGCGGTTAGTGTTATAGTCATGCATTATTGGAATATCATAGTTTTGTGTGTTAAATTAAATTAAATTATATTTCGCTTGGTGTTTTCGCCGAAGCTGTGCATGGAGTTTACGGTTACTTTCAGTTCATATTTTACAGAAAAACGTTTCACACAGTGTTTGTCTTCCGATCATTAGGGAGTTTAGTACTTCCACACTTAATTTTTATCCTTTGGCATTAAGAACACAT